CTCCCCTTGCCCCCAAAGTTTCTGGGTTCGTTGGAATTTTTGGATTCAGGATTTTTTCCCTTTTTTTTTTCCACCTAGGAATTTGAGGGGGAAACTTTTGACCAATCGATCGCCTTTTCTCTCTCCCCCCCCCCCTTTTTTTTCTGAGCAGGGGAAGGGGTTTCAAGAGAGGTTCCCGCTGGACAAAGTTTTTCAAAGTTTTCCGAGTGTGATGGTTGCGGGGAGAGCTAACCCACCAGCTTGATTCACGGCTTCATCTCACCACCCCTCGAGCTGCCCCTAAGTCCGCTATAAGGGAACAAACAAACAAACAAACAAACAAAGTTACACTCCGAGTCGCCTCGTGTCTCCTCTCTCTCTCTTCCAGGCATTTTTTTTTTCCCCCTCCCGCTCTCCCCTCGAAGCTTCCACTCCCCTCTCCCCTTCCCTCGGCCCCTTCCTCCTTCTCTGTTTCGGCTGGAGGTGCCAGGACCCTCGGCCGCAGTCCCCCCTCCCCCGCCGCTCCAGTCCCTCGTCCGCCGGCCCTCCCCTCCCCCGCCGCGGCCGGCACAGCCAATCCCCCGAGCGGCCGCCAACATGATCTTTGAGGGCTTGGAGCTGGTGTCCGCGCTGGCCACCCTCGCCGCGTGCTTGGTGTCGGTGACGCTGCTGCTGGCCGTGTCGCAGCAGCTGTGGCAGCTGCGCTGGGCGGCCACCCGCGACAAGAGCTGCAAGCTGCCCATCCCCAAGGGCTCCATGGGCTTCCCGCTCATCGGAGAGACCGGCCACTGGCTGCTACAGGTAAGGGCGCGCGCGCTCCGCGGCTCTCCGGGGTCCGCTAGCGGCGAGCGCGGGGCCGGCCAGGGGGCGCCGGGAGCCCCGAGGCACTGGTCCCGCCACGCCCCTTCCCTCCGATCTCCCTGCGCCTCCGGGGCTGCCCGGGCCCGCCCGCGGCGTGGTTCGGAGCTCACTGGCGCAGGGTGCGCAGGTTCAGGGAGCTGATCCGAGAGGTCCCGGAACCGAGAAGGATCCCCAGACAGACTCTTCGCAGTTGCAGGCTCTTCGGCAGAGGTGCACGGGGCGTCCGCTTTCACCTCCCCTTGGCCCTCGAGGCCCCAGTCACCATAGGCTTCCTGGGCTTTGGCGGTGCCGTTGGAACCCGAAAATTGCGTCGGGGAGGAGGGAGGGGTGGCAGATGCAGTCAGAACTGCCAGTTAAAGACCCGGACTTGCTCCTGCCCCCTCGTTGGCTGCTCCAGGTACAACTGCGCTGGGTCACGGTCCGAGAAAATGTGTGTTTTGTGGTGGGAGAGGAAGGAAGTAACCCAAGGAAAATGAGAAGCCTGAGACCCGAGGTTTCTCTGCTTTCGGGGAAAAGGGTCTGTTTACTTATTGGGTGAGGACGGTGCAGCGGGGGAGTGACACTGGGGAGAGGTGTGTGAGCGATCCATAGAGTGCATGTGTGCTTGTGGTTGGACGCCGCACAGCCCAGCACTGCTGGTGATCATGGGGTGCGCGTCGGGCGCCGGACCCAGGTAGGTAATGGGGCGATTCACCTGGAGTTAAAGTCGTCCAGTGCTAGACAATCGCTTTTGCAATTTGATACACACCAGGTCTTTTTCTTGGGGGCGGGGGTGGGGGGACGACGTGTCCAGGTTTACCGCAGGAGGTGTGCTGTGTGCGCTCACGCACGAGTGCTTGTCAGGCTGATGCTGATGCGGGGAGGAGGATGAACGTCCTGAAACGGACAACCCCGGCCGGGAGAGGGGAGGTGGGAGGTGGACGCAGGGACCTGTGGAGTTAGAAGTGAGAAAGCTTGGCTTGAAAGTAACAGACGCGTGCAATTCGCTCGCACACACTTACATCCCGCTGGGCGCCAAGTGCCAGCGGACCTGGCGCGGGGAGAGGGATGCTGTGGTCTTCCCCAAGTTCCAGAATCTTCCCTTTTCTTTGGGGGGTTGCTGTTCGTGCAACTAGTGGGGTTCACTTTAACCAATGAGACTACCTCCCCCCCCCATAAAGAAATCCCCAGAGCATATCCCGAGCCACCACACTTTTTAAAGGGTTAACTGCAGCGGTGGTCTAGGCTTTTGGCCGAGAATTTAGGAAATAAAATAACTCACTTGGGCATAAGCTCCTGCCTCGTTAGAGCCAATCTGCGGAATCCGCGGTCTGTCACCACCCCCACCCCCGTTTCCTGACCTTTCCCTGCCCCCCCATGTCCCCCTGACCTTTTCTCAGAATCCCACAAGGGCCCTAGGGGCTCAGCGTCCAACCCAGCGCAGAAGATGGGGAGGAGGACGCAGGCCTGCACCTCCCCACCCAGTGCCCTTGGGGTCCTGGACTCCGCGGTGGAGGGAGATGGGGAGGGTGCGTGCAGAGGGTGCCGAAGGGTTAACGGGGAGCCTTCTGAATCCCAGCTTTATTTTTTCGAGTCATTTATCAAGATTTACGGGGGGGACCTCCGAGGGCTCTCCGTTTCCACCTGGCGCCATCTAACGGAGCCCAGGGCTAAAAA